ATCCAAACCCGTCCCCTGGCCGAGCTGTCCAAGGTAGTTCTGCCCCACCCCAGACACATGCCACGCCACCCGCTCAGAGCCCCACATTCAATCTCTAAGGCTCGATATGATTACATGAGAGCAGATTCAGCTGACGGGGTGTGCACCTATCATAACAGGTGGAGTCTCAGGAGAAACACACCCATGACCAGCTCTAGAATTAAGTTCAAAATACCCTATTTCGCATTTCTGAGATTAACAATGAGAAGAATCTGTCCCGTTTTATCCATGGGTGAGTAGTGATAAAGTGATGAAAGTTCATTTTTCTTTTAACTTTACATAATTTACCCCCCAAATAAAATGAAAATAGTCATAATACACTCAGTCACATCCCATTTTTTTTTTTTTTGAGACAGAGTCTCACTATGTCGCCCTCTGTCGAGTGCTGTGGCATCAGAGCTCACAGCAACCTCAAACTCTTGGGCTTAAGTGATTCTCTTGCCTCAGTCTCCCAAGTAGCTGGGACTACAGGCAGCTACCACAGCGCCTGGCTATCACTTACATTCTAAACACAAGTTCAGTGCTAACTTTCCCTCTCATCATAGTACCGAGATCTATCCCTGTGTTTACTGTTACTTAAAGACCAAAAGCCATCATTAGAAAAAAATAAGTTATCAATTACGTTCACTAAATGCTTCAGCAAACAGAGAGAAACTGGCGATGAGAGCATCTGTAAGAGGATGGGGAAAAAAGCGTCTTTCATTTCATCCTGAAGAAAGAAGCCATTTGCATGCACGATTTGGATTAGAACGTATATGCCCAAATTTTACAGCTTTGATTCTCCTCGGTTCAGAAAATGGATTGCCGTGTGTTAATTTCCATAGCCCCTAAATGTCCCTTTAGTGAACTTTTGTAGAATAGCTTTTAAAGAGAGAAAGGGCCTGGTAAGCAGAGTGGAAGGGAGAGAGGGTGCACCCACCACTACAGGCAAACCCCACAGACAGACAGGCAGATCAGAGACATGGGGGGAGGCAGGCAAACTCTTATTTCAACCAAATGTAGAGATAACAGCCCATGAGTGCAGGTGGCCAGCCGCAGGGATGGCCACTAGCCCCCATCTGGAATGCTGGACAAGCAAACGATTTGGGATACCACCTGTAGAGCTTCCTGAGGCCCCGGGTCCCTGATGAGTTCAGCAGGCGGTTCCTGGCTTGGTTGCAAGGTTCCCTCGGATGGGCCAGTTTCCACTGGCCGCTAGAAACACAACCATTCCCTGGTTAGCATGTGGTGGGCTGCGGGGCACGGCACTCTTAACCTAAATGACAGGGACCACACTTTATCCTGGGGGAAATGAGACCCAGTTAAAACGATGCCTGAGATACTCTTTTTTGGGAAGGCTAAAACAGGTGAAATTGCCCTCTCCTCAATTTTCCTGGGTCCCTGAGCATAGATGACTTTCTATATATTCACACCAAATGCCTACAAAAGCATTTTGGTAACCCGGTCTGTCACTAAAGTAAGAAAAAAAAAAAACGGTGGGGTAGAATATCTATGATCTGGGGGAGAATATCATTCTGGTCATATCTGCTAATTAAAAAGTCCAGATTCATAAGGGTAAATTTAGGGGGGGGAGGGCAAAGGAATTAAAATGATATTCATACTCTTAAATTTTTAGACATGGGTGCAAGCCTCTATTAAAAAAAGGTTGTTTTCTTTTTTAACTTAGGAGATATAGCTGTCATCTTTATGGCATCTTTTTCTGATTCTTTTTCTTTTTTTTTTTTTGAGACAGAGTCTCACTATGTTGCCCTCAGTAAAGCGCTGTGCCATCACAGCTCACAGCAACTTCAAACTAGTGGGCTTACGTGATTCTCTTGCCTCAGCCTCCCTAGTAGCTGGGACTACAGGCACCCACCCCAAGCACAGCTACTTTTTAGTTGCACTTGTCATTGTTTAGCAGGCCCAGACCCAGGCCGAGTTCACTGTCAGCCTCGATATATGTGGCCGGGTAGCCTAACTGCTGAGCTATGGGTGCTGAGCCTGTTTTTCTAATTCTTCTAAAAATAAGGGTGAAGAGAAAGAACCAAATGACCAGCAGGAAATATGATAACAAACAAGGGTAGAAAAAACTCATCACAGCACAACTTATTTCAGGTTAAAAGAAAAAGCCCAAAGCACATTTGTAAACAGGATGGGAGGTATAAAGTGCACCCTCTTTGGTATTTAACGGGCATAGAAAGCTCTGAAAAAGACAACAAGCAGTAGGAGATTTGGAGGCGTGGAAATAAATAGCGTAAATGAGGTATACCAAGGCGGTGTGAGTCTCTGTGAAGTCTGCAAATTGAGGGGAGGGCAGGGACGCTATTCCGGGAGAAGTCTCAACCTCTGGGCAAACTATCGTCTGTTATAAAGAAAAAGACCAAATGTGAGTTAGGTTAAACCTGCATGCAAACAAAGACAGCTTCTTCAAAAATACCCAGCCTATTCTTTTTTTTTTCTGTCTCTATGCTATGAACCCAGATGCTCTTATAGGCCTGGGACAGGGCAATACGCTGACTAATATCTGTCCTCACTTTATTTTTTTGAGACAGAGTCTCATTATGTCACCCTCTGTAGAGTGCTGTAATATCACTGCTCACAGCAACCTCAAACTCTCACAGCTCACAGCAACCTCAAACTCTTAGGCTTAGGCGATTCTCTTGCCCCAGCCTCCCAAGTAGCTGGGACTACAGGTGCCCACCACAACGCTCGGTGATATCTTGGAGGCAGTTGTCATTGTGGTTTAGCAGGCCTGAGCTGGCTTCAAACCCACCAGATTCGGTGTATGTGGCCAGCGCCCTATTCACTGAGCTATGGGCACCGAGCCTGTCCTCACGTCTCCTTTTTACCTTGGGCTTATACCCTATTGCAGATTGCAGCCTCCTTGTTCCCAGGCAGAGCCATAGGAATTATTCTCACCAAGGGGACTAGATAGATGTGATAGGATCACCCCCCTACCTGGGCCGCAAGGCCCAATCTCATCTCATCTTACCTTATTCTCTCCCTTCCTTCCTTCTTTCCTTTTTTAGACAGAGTCTTAGGTAGAGTAACTTGGTGTCACAGCTCACAACAACCTCAAACTGTTGGGCTCAAGCAATCCTCTTGCCTCAACTTCCCTAGTACCTGGGACTGCAGGCACCCACCACAACACCTGGCTAATTTTTCTATTGTTAGTAGAAACCAGGTCTCACTCTTCCTCAGGCTGGTCTCCAACTCCTGAGCTCAACCAATTCACCTGTCTCAGCCACCCAGAGAGCTGGGACTACAGGCGTGAGCCACCATGCCCAGCCTGGTCCTGCATTTCTTTCTTTCTTTTTTTTTTTTTTGCAGTTTTTGGCTAGGGCTTGAACCTCCGGCATGTGGGGTCGGAGCCCTACTCCTGTGAGTCACAGGCGCCACCCCTGGTCCTGCATTTCTGATTCCTGAATTTCAGTTCATCCCCACATTAATTTAATCTTCACTTCCTAGCTCCCCATAAATATCTGTGAAATGCAAAAATGCATGCCTCAAACCTGCATGCTACCTAACAAATGAAAATAAGGAAGTGAATCATCATAAATTTATTTATTTATTGTTTTGAGACAGAGTCTCATTATGTCACCCTTGGCAGAGTGCCATAGTGTCACAGCTCACAGCAACCTCAAACTCTTGGGCTCAAGCGATTCTCTTGCCTCAGCCTCCCAAGTAGCTGGGACTATAGGCGCCTGCCACAGTGCCTGGCTATTTTTCTGTTGCAGTTGTCATTGTTGCTTAGCTGGCCTGGGCTAAGTTCAAACCTACCAGCCTCAGAGTATGTGGCCAGCACCGTAACCACTGTGCTACAGGCACCAAGCCAATCTGAAACTTTTTTAAAAAGATTAAACAGTGGCTCGGTGCCCGTAGCACAGTGGTTACAGCTCCAGCCACATACACCCAGGCTGGCAGGTTCAAAACTTCCCTGGGCCAGCTAAACAACAATGACCAATAAATAAATAAATAGCCAGGCGTTGTGGTGGGTTCCTATAGTTCTAGCTACTTGGGAGGCTGAGGCAAGAGAAATGGTTAAGCCCAAGAGTTTGAGGTTGCTGTGAGCTGTGATGCCACAGCACTCTATCCAGGGCAACAGCTTGACACTTTGCTCAAGAAAAAAAAAAAAAGATTAAATAGTGAGCTACACAGGCTGAGGTACATTTTCATGAAGTTTGACTATCAGAGGACAGAGACAGACATTCCACAAATCACAGATACCAAAAGGCAAGTTATGAGACGTTCTAGGAAAGAAAATGGGAGCCTGATTAAGAGTCTTCACCTAGCCTGGGGCAGGAGGTACTTCTGGGGGTGAAAATGAAGCCTGAAGGGTTAGGAGGAGTCAGAGACCCAGAATGAATGGGGATGGAGTAAGAAAGGGAGCATGCTGGGAAATGCTCATGAGGACAGATGGGCATGTGCCAAAGTCCTGGGGCAGCGAAGATGTGAGCGCAGATGGGCACGTGCCAATGTCCTGGGGCAGCGAAGATGTGAGAGCAGATGGGCATGTGCCAATGTCCTGGGGCAGCGAAGATGTGAGAGCAGATGGGCACGTGCCAATGTCCTGGGGCAGCAACCACAGGTGCATAACCTGTCATGAGCTCTGTCCAACCACTGCACACCCACAAAAGCACCATAGGTGGTGAAATAAATGGAGAAAACAAAGGAAATTATGTGGGCCTATTAATTAGCTTGAAGTGGAAATGGTTTCACAACGTATTCCTATAACAATACCCCAAACCGTGTGCCTTAAATACATACCAATTGTTATTTATCAATAGCACCTCAAAAAAGCCGGGAAAGACATTTTGTAAAAATTAAAATTAAACATGAGCCCCTTCTTTGGGATCCCAGCTGTATAAAATCCAAAAATAAAACTAAGGGGTAATAGGCAGTGCCTGTGGCTCAAAAGGGTAGGGCGTCGGCCCCATATGCCGGAGGTGGCAGGTTCAAACCTAGCCCCGGCCAAAAAAAAAAAAAAAAACTAAGGGGAAATAATTACAGTGTAAAGCAAATGTATAAAGTTGTCAGAAACATCAACAACCATGTCGTTAGCAGGGTCTGTCCACTGAGCTGCTCTGGGCTGGCCCCAGATCACACTCATAAGCTTCTTAACCATTATTCCTTTTAATCCTGACAGGCCTGGGAGGGGGGCAGTCTGAGCCTTCCTCTTGCTGTTGGCAAGTGTAATTTGTAGGCAGACATCCTTGTCCAATGTATAGGAGCTAGAGAGTGAGAGAGGGGATTTGAGCCTAAGCCTTTTTGAGTGCTAAGCCTTGATCTTAATGTCCATGCAATACATACTAATAACACAGCCTAAGTCTCCAGGGTCTGTAAAATGCTTTAGAAAAACCCTACAAGGCTTGGTGCCTGTACCTCAAGAGGCTAAGGTGCCAGCCACATACACCAGAGCTAGTAGGTTTGAATCCAGCCCAGGCCTGCCAAACGACAGTGGCAACTACAACCAAAAAATAGTGTGGTGTCATGGTGGGCGCCTGTAGTCTCAGCTACTCGGGAGGCTGAGGCAAGAGAATCGCTTAAGCCCAGAAGTTGGAGGTTGCTGTAAGCTATGATGCCACAGCACTCTACCCAGGGCGACAGCTTGAGGCTCTGTCTCCAGAAAAAAAAAGAAAGAAAAAGAAAAAGCCTATGAAATAAAACCCAAGGAAGGGAAGCAGGGTGGATGGTAGAGGGAGGGTAACTGGTGCATATTGCAAGGGTATATATCAAATATATTAATAATAGAGTATAAATGTCTAAACACAACAATTAACTAGGCGAGGTGAACGCTATGTTAACCAGTTTGATGTCAACATTCCAGACTGTATGTAGAATCAGTACCCTATAAATACAGTAATGTACACAGTTATAATCTAATTTTAAAAACCCCAAACAAGAATTAAAAAAAACTTGGGAAAAAATAGACAGCCTTCCGAATGGGGGAAGAGATTCTCGTGCTGACTCTGACAAAGGGCTTATCACGGGAATCTACAGAGAACTCAAATTAACCAGCAAGAAAAGAGCAAACAAGCCCATTTATAAATAAGCAAGAGACTTGAACAGAAACTTCTCTGAAGATGACAGATGAAATGGCCACCAAACACATGAAAAAAAGCTCACTGTCTGTAATCACCAGAGAAATGCAAATCAAAACCACTCTGTGATATCCCCTAACCCCAGTGAGATTAGCCCACCTCACAGTCTCAAAGCTGCAGATACTGGCATGGATGTGGAGAGAGGGGAACACGTTTTCACTGTTGGTGGGACTGCAAACTAATGCAGCCTCTTTGGAAAGACGGATGGGGAATCCTCAAAGAACTACAAGTAGACTTGCAATCCCATTATTTGATTCTGCAATACCATTACTGGGCATCTACCTAGACGAAAAAAATCATTTTATCCTATGGACATTTGCACTAGAGTGTCAACTGCAGCTCAATTCACAATTGTGAACACATGGAATCAATCCAAGTGCCCATCAACCCATGAGTGGATTAACAAACTGTGGCATATGTACACTGTGGAATACTATCCAGCTATAGGAAAAGGTGAAAACTTTACATCTTTTGTGTTTACCTAGATGGAGTTGAAACACATTCTTCTTAGTAAAGTCAAGAATAGAAAAAGCAAGGCTCGGTGCCTGTAGCTCAGGGAGTAGGGCGCCGGCCACAGACATCAAGGCTGGCATGTCTGAGCCTGCTAAACAACGACAACTGCAACAAAAAAATAGCTGGGTGTTGTGCTGGGCACCTGTCGTCCCAGCTCCTTGGGAGGCTGAGGCAAGAGAATCGCTTAAGCCCAAGAGTTTGAGGTTGCTGTGAGCTGTGACTTCAAAGCACTCTACAGAGGGCAACATAGTGAGACTCTGTCTCTAACAAAAAATAAAAATAAAAACAAAAAAGCAAGACTCTAACATACCTAACAGTAATATGAAACCGATATATAAATAATTATACGTCCACAGAAAGAATAACAAATACAGTCTAGCTAAGAAGGGAGAAGATGATGGGAAAAGGAAAGGGGAAGGATGGAGGTGACTGGCAGAGATCGCACAAAGTGAGGGTGTTCAGCACGTCCCCCGGGTGAAGGGCTCAACTACAATTTGAACTTAGAATCGAAAACAGTGTGCCGCCATATTAACCTGAAATTAAAAAAAAAGAAGGGTGTTCAGCACGTCCCCTGGGTGAAGGGCTCAACTACAATTTGAACTTCATCTTAGAATTGAAAACAGTGTAACCTAAACATTTGTATTGCCATATTAACTTGAAATTTAAAAAAAAAAAAAAGACGAATGACATAATTGTGTTGGTATCATAAACATGCGACTCCTATAAAAATGAACGGATACTTTATTTC